TCCAGATGCTCCGGTATAGATGGGCATTCAGGAGCAGCCTGAAAGTCCGTCTTCACACTGCTAAGCCCCGCCTTCTCTCCCAAAGTCCACAAGTCTTAAAGCTCCAAGTTTAGCTACCCTTGTTCTAGACCAGGGGTTTCCAACCCTTAGCAGCGGCATGTCAGAAACCGGGCCATGCAAACAAGCAAAGCCCCATCTGCGGGATGCAGGCTTTGCATGCAAAACCACATCCCCTCCAGTCCGTGGGAAAAGTTTCTATCCATGTAACTGGTCCCTGGTGCCCCAAAGGTTGGGGATTGTTACTCCAGACCAGTGGTAGTCAACCTGGTCCCTACCACCCACTAGTGGGCGCTCCAGCTTTCATAGTGGACGGTAGGGGTTTGCTGTAACTCTGCTTTATAAATTTTATAAAGTAAAGTTACTTCCCTATTTTATAAATCATCATTACTGTGGAACCGGTGGGCGGTTAGAAAATTTTACTACTAACAGATACAAAAGTGGGCGGTAGGTATAAAAAGGTTGACTACCCTGCTCTAGACTATGAAATAACTTAGTGTTAAGTTGAGGCTGGTCTCTCTGTTACAGAGAGGAGGGAACTTAAAACACTTGTTTTTACAATAACCCTTAAGAGATTTTACAAAAAAAATAGTGATAGTTTACAATTAAGATTATATCTAGGCTGCAAAAATCCAGATGATCACTACACAGCAGCAAAGAGTTTTTGCCATCTGATTTTTTTTCCAGTCCTTTAATTATATACAGGTACCTTGATATACCTTGATTCACAACCATTTGTTTAGTGACCATTTGAACAATAGCACTGAAAAAAGTGACTTATGACCAGTTTTCACACTTAAGTCTTGTAGCATCCCTGTGGTTCACATGATCAGCATATGGGCACTTAACAACTGGCATATATTTATGACAGTTGCACTGTCTCGTGGTCATGTAATCACAATTTTAAAGCTTCCTATCTGGCTTCCAAATAGCAGAGTCAGTGGGGGAAGTTAGATCTGCTTAACAGCTGCATGATTGACTAAGCAACTGCAGTGATTTGCTTAATAACTGTGGCAAAAAGCTTGTAAAATGAGGTGCAACTCACTTAAGTGCCTTGCTTAGCAAGAGAAATGTTGACCTCCGTTGTGGTCTTAAGTTGAGGACTACCTGTATGAATGTTTGTAAGTACTTAAAACTGCAAAGTGGGAATTGGTCTATCTTTGGCTATTTGAATAACTTTCTTTCCCCTATTGTTTCTGTTTGTCCAGTAAGATCTGACAGTGGGCATATTTGTTTATTATTAATCAAGTTTTTATGGCTGCCCATCTCATGGAAATTGAGCAGCATGCAACAATCTCACAAGATAAATATAAAACATTTTTTTCCTCAAATCATTACAGTTAGTTATTAAGAAACATTAACAACTACAAAAGTAGAAGTAAACAAGAAAAGGAAAAATAATAATTGGTAGGATATCACTCATTGGCCTTACAAGTGCATTCATCCCTTGAGGTCCTGAGATCCCATTCTTAAAACAACATCATCTGATGGAATCCCAGCAATATGTCTTCTCTGTCATGGGCCTTATTCCCAACCCTCTCATCTTTTGAGCCTTGAAGATCTTTCCCCAGGTGTTGGATTAGGAAATACTAGTAGATGCTGCTGGTTTTTTTAAAATTAGTTTGCTATCACCAAGTTTTTGCTTTCTTATGGATGGCTTTTGCTATACTGAATTTGACAAAGTAGACCACAGCCTACTTCTTGGTAAGAAGATATAGATGGCGTCACCACCAGATGGATTCACAATTAGCTGACCAACTACACTCAATGTGTACTCCTCAAAGGAACTACATCTTTAT